TTTTGTCTTTACAAGCCTGAGTTCTCAGTACGTGGGAGGCTAAGGTGGGCATATTGCTTTAACTTTGAGGCCAGTTTGGGCTACACAATGATACCAGGCCATATAGCCATATCTGTCTTAAAACAACCCCCCAAAAAAGCTGATATGTGAGGTGTGCTGTAAAAGAGAAGGCTCCTCAGTCAGATGCTTGTTTTTAAGGAGGGTAGTATAAGAACGAGAAAAGAGCCAGGCAGTGACACACGCCTTCAATCCTTGCACTTGGGAGGCAGAAGCAGTTGGATCTCTATGTATTTGAGAGTCTAGTCCACATAGCAAGTTCCAGGCCAGCCTGCATCAAAAGGGGGCCAGGTGAAAAGGTGGTGAGGTGTGACAAAGCTGGAATATGTAATAAGTCTTCTAAGCAAGAACAGGTAACCTCAGGTATCGTTTGGAGAGCACCATGATAATGAAAAATGGTGTAGAGGAGCAGACTGATTCCAGAGGAACAGAAGGAAGCTATCTCGTGGGCAGATGAAAAACATGGGGCATGCACTAGCAATGGGGCAGAAGTAAGTATACAGGCTTTATGTATAATTAGAAAGCAGAACTCACAGTAGTTAATATTTATGTAATACAGTATTTTAGGCATTGTTCCATATGCTGAAGATACATCCGTGGGAGAAAATGCAGATAAAGCCCTTATCTTGGGGTTGGTGTTGTATAGCTCACTGGTAGGATGCTTGTCTAGTGTGTGCCAGACTTCATATTTGATTCTCCAGTACCAAAAAATAATTATGTTCTCTGCACAATTAAACAGTATGGTGACTAGTGGGTTCTGTAGCTCTTTGTCCCTGCCTCACAAAAGCTATCAGGAACTTTGAGACATGGTTTCTAAAAGCCAGTCATTAAACAGTAGCTAGGCATCATGGTTCCCTACATAGATCGGGCTGCCCTCGAACTCACAAAGATCCTCTTGCCCCTGCCTCTTGAGTGCTGGAATTAAGTCATGTACTGCCATGCCCAGCTATATCCCCAGGCTTTTGGTTTTGTTTTGTTTTAAGGGTGCATATAGGGTTTTTAAAAATAAAAATATGTATTAACAAAAGTTTATGAACCTTTCCATGCTGATGGGCATGTAGGTTTCTCTGGGATCTATGATCATAAACCTGTGAGCTGCTAGGTGGTGGTGGTGCGCTCCTTTAATGCCAGCACTTGAGAGACAGAGGCAGGCAGATCTCTGAGTTCAAGGCCAGCCTGGTCTGCTTTGAGTGAGTTCTAGGACAGCCAGGGCTACACAGAGAGACCCTGTCTCAAAAAGCCATTGAAACACAACCAAACAAGCCTTTGAGCTCAGTGTCAGGAGACCAACCTGGGTTACATACTATCTCCAAACAACAAATATTCAACTATGACCTTAAAGTTACATCTTTTTTAAAATCAACACTGAAGAATATTCAAAAGCATCACTTGCTATTTATTTTACTATTTCTTGTGCCCTGAGTTTCTTTACCTCTGTGGGGTACGAAGACCACATAGACTCCATACAGTAGGCAAGTCTCCCCTATTGTATTTCAAACGTTTGGTAGCCTGATCAATTGTGATAGAAGAATTTCCACCATAGAAGGCAGCAAATGTTATGAGTCAGGGCTTCCTTCTGCTAGAGAATAACTACTAAGTACTTAGCAGCATGGGCCCTCATAAGCTTAGGAGCCCACCTTGGAATCAGGAAGCCAGAATTTAAAACAGGGCTCCATCAGTTGCTAACATTGTGATTTGGCTAAGATATCTATATTGGTTTCCTCAATCATAAAATAAGACAAACAGTTCTGCCATGGCCATTTGTACAGCTAACCCAAAATGTCCATGTGGGTGATTATAAAAAGAATGTATCCTCACAGGTCTGGAGGCCAGAGAGTCCAAGACTAAGGTGCTGGTAGACTGGGTGCCCAGGGAGGAGGGGCTGCTCTTCACATGGCAGAAGAGAGAGAGAACCTTTTTATAACTGCATTTTCCCTAAAACCTTCCCCATAGGTCCCACCTCCCACCTCTGCCTCATTGGGGAGTAGACTTTCAGTACATGAACTTGGAGAGGATAAACACTTGCAAACCACAGGAATAAAATAGCACATTTAATTAAATGAAATTTCAATAAGTGCTTGATACAACAGCAAATATGGGTAGATGTGAATAAATTCTTTTCTACTCATAGGGAGATAGGAATGGGCTGTTTAGGGACAGAGAAGATGTCTCAGAAGACCAGAGTGTGGTTCCCGGCACCCATATTCTGAGGCTTCTAACTGCCTGTAACTACAGTTCCAGGGTTCCAACCCCCGTCTCTGGCCTCCTCAGGCACCTGCTTGCACACAGTACACACCCAGACAGGTTGGCACACACGTACAAATAAGAGACAAAATAAAAGGAGGGGGCTATTGCCAAGATCCATTATAAAGCAAGAAAAAAGTTCTTGTTGGAGGGGTCCATTGGGAGCTGTGAGCTCTTTAGGTGCCCAGAGTTATTCCTAAGCTTTCTAACCACAGGAGAGGGAGAACCCAGTGCCTGCTCTGGGGTACACAGTGAAAGCATCTGGCCTAGCACACTGAGTCGTCAGTGGCCTCAGGAGGAATGACTGAAATCAGATTAGCTTTAGGGCAGGTTGGACATTGCTGTCCCAAGGGATAATGAGGTCAATGTTCAGCTTAAATTTGGAGCCTTGCAATGCCCGAGGATATTCAAGGCTTTTGCTGGCCTATGTTCAGTCTTTCCTGCAGGAAGTAAAAAAGCTATTGGTTGGGAGACTTGAAAAGATTACACCAAAAAGGAAATGACTGTATTTTTGAGAGCTTGAATTTCCCCAGAAATCAAGCCGGACATTGAAGTCTTTAAGTCCCCTCTGAACAGTGGAGGATTACAGAGGACAAGAAGGGAGCAGAGAAAAGGATGCGCCCCTAAGCTCATGTAGCTAGGGGTTAGAAGTGATAGGGCAAGCATAAAAAGTCGGTCAGCAGGAGGGGAATCTTCCCAGCCTGTGGTTGAAGGCCTGAGTGCACTGGTGCCTGTGGTCTCCAGGGGGGGCCTGTGCGTAACTATGGGCAAGTCCCTTGGTCCAGGCAGGAGGAGAGCTAGATGGACTGGGGGCAAGCAGAGGTGGCTGCCTCTGGTGAGAGGATAGAAAGCAAGGTCAGCGCTGTGTTGAGTGCTTGAGGCTATGAAATACTGAGGCCTAGACAGTCCCTGGAGGTTCTGGCATTGCGTTTAAGCCACCAGATGAATGAATGGTAGACAAGTTAGGAAACAACAATTTTAAAGGGCCAGAAACACTGTTCTGAGGCAGGTGATGGATCCAGGGATGGCATGAAGGTGCCCAGAGCTGTATGGGAAGAGGCTAAACTATAAAATGAGCATCTAGTAGTATGTCTCTCTAGAGGACTCTGCCAGGCAGAGGGAGACTGGCCTACAAGTTAGTAATGGATCCCCAGAAAGGCGATATAAGGTATCAGAGGCTGTGAGGAAGGAAGAGAGGACTCTGGGAGTGCCAGCTGCCAGTGCAGGTGGCAGACCTCCTTTGTCCTTTGGGAGTCTATCTGTGCCCGCTGAGTCATAAGGAAGAAGTGACAGTAACAAACGTGTTCATTTTTAGTCAGAAGAGGACATTGAGTGTGATGGCAGAGCCTGGTGTCATGCCCCGGAACACCCAGAACTCCGGTGTTCTAGTCGGAGGAAGTTTTGCAGAATGGAAAAGAGATCATGGGGCCAGAGGAGCAGAGCTGTGCTCAGCATGAGCAGAAGGACAGGGTTATCTCAGGCTTCTGCTATGGTTGTGGAGAGGGACGGGAGGACCATAAGACCAAGTAAGAAGGATCACTAAGGAGCAGAGATCTGGGAGACTTAGTCTAAAACATAGTTGGCACTACCTTCAATTCTCTACTGAGCTGGCAGCAAATCTTGGGTGTAAATGAGGCCGGCTTTGGAAGAGAGCCCTGCGAGTGATGAGTATAGCACGTATGAGAAATGACAGGTGATATCTCAGAAAGGAGAAAGGTGTGGGACCTAAACACTGGGGAGAAAAACAGAACCACCAGAAAAAGGACAGTGACAAGCAACTGTGACCCCTAAAGTTCAGTATGGACCTGCCATAAAAGTACCCCCATTAATAATGTCCACTTGTTTCAGAAGAGGGGAAATTCTCAGAAATGTAATAGTAAGAGGAAAAGTAGGTCAGCAAAGTGAAAACAAAACAAGCGCTTGCCAGGTGTGTGGAAAACCCTGGATTGCTTAAGAAACAAAACTAACAAAAAGTAATCAATACGTAGCTAGAAAAATAATTTCAAGTTTTTGGTAGGTGACATACAGGAAAGGAGAGGCTGCCCAGAAAGCTCGCATGGAGACGGCAATATTGTACCAAAATCAGTTGTAACCATGAAATCCTAGTTACAGCTCAGGGTGAGAGCTAAATAAAGTGTTTCACGCTAATTGGAATTATTGAGAGACAACAGGGAAAAAAATGCCTTCTCTTCAGGCCCTGTGCCTTCCCTCAGAAGATTTTTGCAACTATTAGTCCAGAGATAAAGCTGTAAAGGTTTGGAGTACCCCCAGAGGAGGCCCCCATGACTGATGCTTGGGAAAGGTTCTCTTGAATGTTTCTGAGAAAGCTCATTTGCATGTGCAGGGTTATAAGCAGCGGTCTGGTTAGTTGCCATAGGCTTTAGTTGAGTTGGACTTGATACTCAAGTACACAAAGAAGGTTCATTCTCCCCTCTTCTTCCCTCTCCCATTGTAGAGATAAACAGCCCCAGGAAGGTAACCGGCCATCCTGTTCTGTTTTATGACCACTTACAGCTGTTGTCAGTATGTGAGCTAGTGTTGGCAGCTGGAAATTTGCTGAAGGGGGTGGGGGCTAGTGCCAGGAAGAGAGAGTCTTGGATTTTTTTAGACTTCGACCTTATTTGCTGTGATGTCATTTGCCAATATTGGCATAGCCGTGGAAGTCAAATCTTTCTCAATAGGGTTGGAAATGGGGGTGGTACTGTTACCAATTCTATATAAGTTCAGCTTCATGCCCAGTGCTGTCTGTGGCCTTTCTAACCCAGACATGACTAGGACAGTGGTGTCACCTGTAACCCTGGGGCTGCTGGGCCTGTGCTGGTCCCTGACTGCTGCCAACCCTCTCCCTTCGTGAGTAAAGCTGGTGTTAGCCATGGAGGATTGTGATCTGGGCTTGAGTGTGATGGGGCTGGTTTCCAGGCTTGGGCCATGAGCTACGGAAGAGGAGTAGCACCCAATGGACCCAGATATCTGTTTGTGTTCTCTTTAGTGCCCGTGAGACTGTTGCTGAAAATGTTGGTGAAGGTGCGACCCAGCCAGACTCAGATGTAATCGGTGAGGCCCCAATTCCCTGAACCTGTCTTCTCTGTCTCCGCATTTTATCATCTTAACTGATATTCTTCCAATCCAGAGCGCTGCTCAGATGGCTGGAGCTTTGATGCTACCACCCTGGATCACAATGGAACCATGCTGTTCTTTAAAGGTAGGAGAAAGCTAAACATATTGGTATATGCTAGTAATATATAAATTTCCCAGAACTAGGAAACCTGAGGCAGGAGAATAACAAGTTCAAGACCAGCTACATGGATTAGTCTGTCTAAAAGAGACAAAGGTTGGAGTATCTGGGCCTCCAGGCACGATCCCTTGAGAGGGTGTCTTCATCTGTGGGAGGGCTCAGGGGTTTTTGGAGGGTTATCAATAGCAGTTCTTTGAAACTATCTCAATCAGCCAAAGGTTTGTTCTGGAACCCTCAGGGAATATTGTTTTTTTCAGGGGAGTTCGTGTGGAGGGGTCATTCAGGGGTCCGGGAATTAATCTCAGAGAGGTGGAAGAACTCCACCAGCTCCATAGATGCTGCATTCCGCCGTGGTCCTGACAGTGTCTTCCTGATCAAGGTACTGCAGGGTCTAGGGAAGAGCTGGGCTGGAAAGGGCTTGAATCAACAACCTTAGAGTCCCTCCTCCCTCAAGTGTCCTTTGCATGGAGCCTGATGTGGTCCATGTCCTGCTGCTGCAACAGAATTTCTGATATTAGATGATTTTAATGAATAGTATTTTCCTTGGCCTGTGGGTCTGGAGTTTGGGAAGCCCGAGGGCATAGTGCTGTTATTTGGCAAGAGAACTCATGCTCTCTTACAGCCTATAAAGAGATGGCACCAAGGTCAAAGAAAGAAGGCACAAGAGAGCCGGAAGGGCCCAAACCTGCTTTTATAGTGGCCCACACTTACGCTAACTAGCCTGCACCCATTGTCATATTGAGCCAGTAATGACATTCAGCCATTTGTGAGGCTAGGCCCTGATGAACTAATCTTATTAAGTTCTGCCTCCCAGCACTGTTGCATGGGAACGAACATACTACCTTAAAGGACACATTCAAACTATGGCAGGACCCTTGCCAGTAGGTACAATTTCCTCTCCTTGTGCCTTATTTTCCTGTGTGTGTGTGTGTGTGTGTGTGTGTGTGTGTGTGTGAGAGAGAGAGAGACAGAGACAGAGACAGAGACAGAGAGACAGAGACAGAGAGAGACAGAGACAGAGAGAGAGAGACAGACAGAGAGACGGAGCATGTGCACCTATGGGCAGGAAAGACCAATATCCAATGGCCATCCTTCATACCTAATTTAGTTCTAGCTGGCCTTGTTATTCCTAACTCATGGCAATTTCTTTCCTTGACCTCTATGATCCTGTATATATGATCCTGTTTATATGTGGGGCACATTGTTCCCAACACAGTGGCACCTGGCCAAGGGGGCAAGCAAAGGATAAAATATACTGACTCTTGTGTTCATGACTGGCCCAACCTGTCTGCTCATAGGAAGAAGTTCTCTTAACCTGTCTAAGGGTGTGTGTGGTTGGGGTGGCAGTGACTGACAGCTTCATTTCCTCTCCAGCCTCTTTCCACTCCCTCTTCTTAACCAGTGTCCTCATTAGGGTCACTACTGCTGTGATGAAACACTGTGGCCAAAAGCGAGTTGGGGAGGAAAGGGTTTATTTGGCTTGTGCTTCCACATCGCTGTTCATCAGCAAGGGGAGTCAGGACAGGAGCTCAAACAGGGCAGGAACCTGGAAGCAGGAGCTGATGCAGAGGCCACAGAGGGGTGCTGCTTACTTGCTTGCTCCCCATGGCTTACTCAGATTGCTTTCTCATAGAACCCAGGACATAGGGATGGCACCACCCACAATGGACTGGGCACTTCCTATCAATCACTAATTAAGAAAATGCCTTACAGATGGCTCTTACTGAGACATCTTCTCAGTTGAGGTTCCTTCCTTTCAGATGACTCCTAGCTGTGTAAAGGTGACATAAAACTAGCCAGTACAATCAGTCCCCAAATGTTTGTTGTTTGGGGATCCACTCTGAGCCTTTCCAAGAATCCTCCCTGGGTAATTCCAACCACTGCCATGGGTTTGAGGGCTCTGTGCTCCACAAACCAGATCTGGGTTGTTCTTCTGAATTTCGGAAATCTCTTTCCACTTTCTTGTTGAAAAATATTTGATTTAGCTTTTCCTCCGCTGCCCCAAATCCAGCAGCCTCCCAAATTAAGCATCATTTTTACAAAGCAACCTTTCCTCTGTGTTTCCTGTTTTAGCAAAGGTACCACCATGTACCTGGTTTCCATATGCTAGGTGCACGTGGGTCTGAGGGAGCTGGTCTTGTTTTTTTCTGTTTTGTTTTGGTTTGATTTTTTGGGGTTTTTTTCTCTTGCCATGTTGATTGTGTACCAGTCACATGAGGTCACACAAAATCTTCTGAGTACTCTGTACCTGTTAGGGTCCTCTATGCTGCTGTCCTCTGTCCACCTGGTAAATCTCGCTCATTTTCATCTCTTCTGTCATATGCTTTCTCTCCATGCTAAAATTTTCTGAGACTTTTCCAGACATAACTAGACATTCCCCTATATTATCGATGTGCTTTTTTGCATGCTTTTCACCTTGGTAACTGAATGGCTGGGATGTAGCAGTTGCTTTCAAGGGCGCTTGTTATCCCTGGGTGCTCAGTGCTTCTCATAATGCTCAGTCTGTAATAGTTATTCAATTTGTGCTTCTTTAATGAATCTGTAAATAAATGGGCAAATGAATATGTGAATGGGTGAGTGGCTAGAAAATACCTACTGTGGATGTGCTTGGCAAAACTAAGAGTGCTATAATTAAGTGTAACACAGGAGTGTCTGCTTATACATGGCCAGATGTGTGTGCGTTGTAGTTTGGTGACTGTTGGCTGGGAGTATTGTACTAGGGGCAAAATGGTGTACTCCACCCACCGGTGGACTGAAAATGCACAGAACTGTGAGGAGATGCTGTCGCCTAAGTGTGCACACACGCAATGTATCTGGAGGTGAACAGTTCCGAAAGGAGTGTTTCCGAATGCAGGGAGACAAAATCTGGGTGTACCCCCCTGAAAAGAAGGAAAATGGATATCCAAAGTTGCTCCAAGAAGAATTCCCTGGAATCCCATACCCACTGGATGCCGCTGTGGAGTGCCACCATGGAGAATGCCCGAGTGAAGGCGTCCTCTTCTTCCAAGGTGTGTCCAAGAACATAGATGGCATCCTGGTGCCCATGCTGATGGTGGGAGCGTCATTGTTGGCTTTATATGGAAGGAAATGGGAAAGCCTGTTACAGCTAGAGGTCACGTAGAGCAAGGGGCAGAAGTCATTCTAATGAAGGCAACTTGGCTAACATTTCTGCTTTATTCCTCATGACCCTGGGGCCGACCTCTGCTCCTCAGCCTTATGTACACATCTCACCATGACCAAAGCCCTATTGACCTTCCAGCTTGGACTTGTCCCCAGAAACTCCACACTATCCCCTGCATACCAAATTTGCCTTCAGCTTCCCTTCTTGTCTGCTTTCTAACTCCTACCTCACATTTCAGTTTGTTTCCTCTTCCTCTGACTTCTCCCAACTCTTCCTTCTATCACTGGGTTGATCATGTGCACCTTGCTGCTGACTTTCGACATATGGTGGCTCTCTTCAGCTGCCTCCCTGCTGTGCTTGTTTGCTCTATGTAGCTGCCACCCACTGTGATCCAACCTGTCTGGGACCCCAGTGCAGGCCCAAGGTGTGTATAACCCAGCCTCATTGAAATGCTTTTGATTTCTTGGTCATAGGTAACCGCAAGTGGTTCTGGGACTTTGCTACAAGAACCAAAAAGGAACGCTCCTGGCCAGCTGTTGGGAATTGCACCGCAGCCTTGAGGTGGCTTGAACGCTACTACTGCTTCCAGGGTAACCAGTTCCTGCGCTTCAACCCTGTCTCAGGAGAGGTGCCTCCCAGATACCCTCTGGATGCCCGTGATTACTTCATGTCCTGCCCTGGCAGAGGTGAGAGAGAAAGCCCCAGCATCTGGGACCTACTGGCTGAGCTTGCTGACCTCATATGCTCACCTCCCATCTTAACGCTGTACGCTAACATCTTAGGAGTGAGTTCTCCTATTATCCGCAAACAGGGGAAGCCCATATTCCTACTAACCCTGGCTATCTATCTCTTCATCAGCAGAACCTCCTCTAACCCCAACCTCCCTCCCTCTCTTCCAGGCCATGGTAGACCCAGAAATGCAACGAATAGCACCCATCCTATGCATTCACGCTGTAGCCCGGATCCCGGCTTGACTGCATTAATGTCTGATCACCGTGGTGCCACCTATGCCTTCAGTGGTGAGAGACTACCCCAAATTCCCCATCTCCAGCCTCCTGGCTCTTTTTCTTGTACCTCTTCTCTCACGCAGCCCCTGAACTTTCTTCACCATGTCCTGTATTTTGTCCCTGCACCTCACCTTCACTTTGCACTCCCATCCCCTCACATGCATACTTTCAGCCTTATCTTTGATTGTCCAGCCTTCCTTCCACATCTTCTACCTGTCTGATTCTCAGTGGCACCTACTCCCCGTCTGTGTACTCGGCGGGACCCTTCTATCCCAGCAATTTCTCATGTTTCCCTTTGCCCTGCTGAGTCCTGTGGACTCGGTGTGTCCACGCCTGCTTGTATCGCTTGCTCTTGCATGTCTCTCTGAGACTCCTGGCTCGCTTCCTCTCTGGATCTGCCTGTGTCTGTGCCTCTGTGTCGCTTGCTCTCGCACATGCCTTTCTGGGTACTCTGGCTCCCCTCATTTATTCAGGAACCCATCTTTCCGAGATGCTTAGTTCTTACATCCTGGTCTCTGGACTCAGCATCACTTAGGGATGAGATTGTTCCCACTGCAAGGACAGAAAAGAAGCATTGTGTACTCCAGACCCTTAGGATGTAGCTTCAGGGAGATTTTTACTTTGAATGTCCAATGAAGAGACCCATCCCTTGCCCTTTGTCATCAGTTGGTAAAAGCCACCTGATGATATTTGGCAGGCAGGTAGTGATGGGGCACTCCCTACACTGACGAGATCTACAAAATGGGGAGGAAACAACCACATTACGTCCAACCTGAGATATATGTAGCAAAAGCGGCATAAATGGCAAGGGCCCAGAAAAGTGAAATTACCTTTTTAATTCTGAGCAAATATAGCGTGTTGTGACTAACAGATTCTCCTGAGAAATGTATAGCTACATGGAGAGTGTATCCTCTCAGCAGGAATGCGCATCTTAATGAAAACATAGAGCTGCAACGAAACATACATGCCGTGACATTACAAAACTGGGCTGAGAACACATGTCATAGTAAGAACATGTAAGTGTCAGGAGAGTATGCACATATGGTAAGCATGTGGGATCATTAGGGGAAAACACAAAGTAAGTGTGTGGGGACGTGTGTTTGGGGGGGCAGAGAGTGATTGGATCATGCTAGGTTTGGAGTACCGAATAGGACCAAATGAATGCGTCAGGTGGACAGTTGAATTTGAGCCTAAAGTTCAAAGGAAATGTCGTTCTGAGTGGAAAAGAGGTCAAGGCTCACCCTCGGCATACGGATGGTGTTCGTGAGAACACCCATCAAGGGAGCCAAAGGTATTTAGAGAAGGAAAGAGGACAAAACAGGAACTCAGATGTCCTAGACATAAGACCAAAAAGGATAGTCAAAAAGATAAGCAGCATACTGGATAAGTCTGGAATTGTAGGAGCCAAGATTCTTTTTTGGAATGTTTAACGAAGAAGGACTGGTTAGGGATGTAGCTCAGTTGGCAAAGGGCTTGCTTAGCATACACACAGCTCTAGAGATCTCTAGCACTGTATAAACTGGGCATGGCGAGTGGAGGCAGAAGGATCAGAAGTTCATGAATGCCACCCATGGCTCCATAACCTACATGAGAACTGAGACCCAGTTACTGCCGAAAGCCAGGAGGTAGAACTTAACCATTATATTTGGAGGACAGTGCTGACCTTGAACAATTTCAATGGAAGATAGAAACACAAGTATAATTAGAGAGCCGTGAGGGGAAGGGAGATGAGAGGGAGTGTTAATTCTTTTAGTATATTACTATGAGACCAAACGATCGGACAGACGGCTCAGTGAGTTAGCACGCTAGCTGCTCAAGGATGAGGAACTGAGTTTGGATCCCCAGGATCCATGAAAAAGGCCAGGTAAACCAGGGTGTACACCTGTAACCCCATTACCATTGGGGAGCAGAGGGGGGAGAATCATTGGGGTTTGCTGGCTGCCAGCCTAGCTCTAGAGTTTTCAAGAGAATGGGGCAGGGAGAGGGGGAACGGCTGATAAAGCAGGATAGCCGACATCCTCCCGTGGCCTCTGCACACACATGAGTGCGCGTGTCCTCCTGCACACACGTGCATGTGCCTCACTCACATACAGCACACACACTTGCTGAAATCTTGTCTGCTGCTCTCCGTGGTCGCCTCTCTATCTGGCCTGCTGACTCCAGCTTCAGTAGAGCCACTGTCCCCAGCATGGCTCTCCTCTCACTCTCCGTTTCTTCTTGGCCTTGGCATGCATTCTTCCCCTCTCACGACTCAATCCTGCACCCCTGGCTTGTCCTTCCACTGCGTTAGCTTTCACACTACCTCTTGGTATCCCACAGGCTCCCACTACTGGCGACTGGACACCAGCCGTGATGGGTGGCATAGCTGGCCCATTGCTCATCACTGGCCCCAGGGGCCTTCGGCAGTAGATGCTGCCTTTTCCTGGGATGGGAAAGTCTATCTGATCCAGGTGTGTATCGGGAGTGAGGTTTAACATGGAAAGGAGGACAGGCTATACAGGTCTATGTTGCTTACTCTCCTTTGTCCCCTAGGGCACTCAAGTATACGTCTTCCTGACAAAGGGAGGCAATACCCTAGTAAGTGGTTATCCAAAGCGGCTGGAGAAGGAACTCGGGAGCCCTCCTGGGATCAGCCTTGACACTGTGGATTCGACCTTTATCTGCCCTGGTTCTTCCAGGCTCTATGTCACAGCAGGTGAGGAACTTTTGGGTGCCAAGGGGTCTTCTGCTAATTCTTCATGGCATAGATGATCAGGAGGGCTAAATGAAGATGAGAAAAGCTAAATGAAGATCCTCATGATATAGGAGCCATGTTAAGTGTATTGCCTGTTTTTTCCAGGACGGCGGCTATGGTGGCTGGACCTGAAGTCAGGAGCTCAGGCGATATGGACAGAGCTTTCTTGGCCCCATGAGAAAATTGATGGGGCCCTATGTTTGGACAAGTCCCTTGGTCCCAATTCATGTTCTTCCAAAGGTCCCAGCTTATACCTTATCCATGGGCCCAATTTGTACTGCTACAGCAGTATAGACAAACTGAATGCTGCCAAGGTGGTTCCGCAGCCCCAGAGAGTCAACAGCCTCCTTGGCTGCAGTCAATAAGAAGAAGCACTGATAGGAATTATCCCAGTGCAGCCCAGCTACCTCTCCATTTTCATCCTAATAAAACCAGATGGTTTCTTCACATGAATCATGGGGTGTTGATTGCGAAACAGTTTTCTTCATTTGAATTGAAAAACTAGCAACTCTCTTTTTAAAATACGTACTAATCATTTTTAGAACATATAGGAATGTGCATGGGTGTGATCATTTTAGAACATATAGGGATGTGTATGGGTGTGATCATTTTAGAACGTATAGGAATGTGTATGGTGTGATCATTTTAGAACATATAGGAATGTGTATGGGTGTGATCATTTTAGAACGTATATGAATGTGTATGGGTGTGATCATTTTAGAACGTATAGGAATGTGTATGGGTGTGATCATTTTAGAACATATAGGAATGTGCATGGGTGTGTGCACATGAGTGCAGGCGCCCACATGGGTGAGAGGAATTGGATCCCCTGGTGCTGGAGTTACAGGCAGTTATAAGATGCCCGACGTGGGTGCAGGGGAGCAAACATGGATCCCAGTCAAGAGCGCTGTGAGTTCTTAAAAGCTGAGCCATCTCTCCTGCTCAACCGACCACTCTTTTGAGACTCCCAAGCTCGAGCAAGGCTTTGGGAAGCAAGGACAATACATAGATGGCTTTCTAATTCAAACCACAGGTCATATCTGCTTGCTTTTCCTTTTATTTCTTCTACTTCTTCTGAGCCTCCTCCCCTTCCCTCCTTGTCCCTTCCTTCCTCTCCTCCTCCTCCACCTCCTTCTTCTTACAGGGTCTCCTGTAGCCTAGGCTGTCTTCAAACTTTCCATTTAGCCAAGGGTGTCCTTGAACTTCTCTAACCTTACTGCCATGACCTCTCCAGTGCTAGAGTTCCAGGCATGCACACCATGCCCAGTTTGTGCCATGCTTGAGATCAAACCCTGTACGTTGTGTCTTTTGGACAAACACTCTACCAAATGAGCCACATTCCCAGCCCAGAACATGATGTATTCCAGTCTACACACAGTGAGAAAAAGGACTGGAGTAGGAAGAGAAACTGTTGAGTATGCATAGCATGGAAGAGAGCTAAGACTCTGACCTAACTTGCAGATTGGCCACAACTGGTCCTAGAGCATCAGGAACCTAGTGTTTAGGGGCAGCTATGCTATCCAAAGTGTGATGGCTTGGAGTTGTTGTGGACTCTCTTCTGGGGGCGGGGTCAAATTGTAGCTCTGAGTGGTTCTGGTAGAAATCAGCTGTCACAATTGCCTTGAGTTAAGCCCAAGTGAAAAAGCAAGAACATGAGGTGTGCATCAGTGGCAGACTGGGGACAGAAGGAATGACTCTGAAAACTGTAACAGTGATATGTATGTATAGAACCAGTCTCTGGGGGATTCTTCTGGGGCCTGGCTCTGTTGCAAGGAGAGGCTGCTTGTTTGTCCCAGCTGCCCGGCTAGCATAGCCCAGAAATAACCACACAGACACTGTATTAATCAAAACCCTGCTTGGCCATTAGCTCTAACTTCTTATTGGCTAACTCTTACATATTAGTTTAACCCACCTCCATTAATCTGTGTATTGCCACGTGGCAGTGGATTCTAACCGGCAACCGTCTCAGGTGGAGGATCCATGACTTCTCTGACTCTACCCTTTTTCCTCCCAGCATTCAGTTCTGTTCCCCCCTCCGCTTACCTAAGTTCTGCCCTGTCAAAAGGCCAAGGCAGTTTCTTTATTCATTAACCAATGAAAGCAACACAAATGCAGAAGGGCCTCCTACACCATGGCACCTCATACAGTCTGTTGTTGGAGCCGTCTGGCTTCCCTTTGACCCTCCATGGTGCTTGCACCCAGAGGCCAGTAGATGCTACCCACATAGAAGTTACAATGCTTGGTTCTTTTCTGCTGGATGCCAACCCAAATTTAGGCTCCATTACAACCATCTGGTTAGAGTTGTAACAATGGATCTTAGCTGAGAATCTTTTCCCTTCCAAAATCAGCTGAGATTGGAGGCTGATTTGTTTTAGGGCCCCCCCCCCCAAAAAAAAGCCTGAAACTCTAGCTGGGTGGGTAGAGGTGTTTGTTTTTATTTATTTTATGTGTTTGGGGGTTTTGCCTGCATGTGTACTGTGTGGTATACTGCATATATGCTGGTGGAGGCCAGAGGAGAGCATCTAATCCCCTGGGACCAGCATTACTAGACAGTGGGGTGCTGCCGTGTGGATGCTGAGAATTGAACCTGGGTCCTCTGGAAGAGAAACTAGTACTCCTAATTGCTGAGCCATCTCTCCAGCCCCAGACTGGAGGTTTTATTCTGATCATCTACATCCTACTCTCCATGACTTCTTCAAAATGGGTGTAGTGCCGCTCCTGGTGGCACAGGCCTGCGATCCCACTTACTGCAGAGACTGGGTAGCTGAGTGGTCACCCAGCCAGTGATGGCTGCTTGGGCTACAGAATGAGTTTAAGGCCAGTCTGGGCAACATAGCAAGGCCTTTTCCAAATAAAACATAATAAGAGGGTTGGTGATATAATCTGTTTTAGTTAGGGCTTCTAGTGCTGGGATGAGACACCACGGCTGTGGCCACTCTTAACAGAGAAAACGTTTAATTAGGGCGGCTCCCTCACAGTTTCAGAGGCTCGGTCCATTACCATCATGCTGGGGAGTGTGGCACCACTCAGGCAGATGTGCTGCTGTAGCTGTAGCTGAGGCAACAGGGAGTCAACTGAAAGTCACACTGAGGGACGTTTGAGAGAAAAAGAGACCTCAAAGCCCACTCACACAGGACAGGGATACTCTTCCTCCAACAAGGCTACACCTACTTTAACAAGCCACACCTCCTAACAGTGTCATTCCCTATGAGAATGGGTCCATTACACTCAAACTACCATGCACTCAGTGGTGGAATGCTTGTCTAGGATGTGTGTCTTCCTATTTTTGAATGTGTGTGTGGACAAGTGTGTAGGTAGGTGCCTGTGCACGAGGCCCAAGGTCAATGCCAAGATTCCTCCTGGACCACTCGTCCTGCTTCCCAGTGAGGCAGGCTCTCTCTGTCAAACCCAGCGCTTTCAGCCCGAGCCAGCTCTCCAGCCTCTCTCTGCACCATTTTATGGCCATTATCCTCCACACTCCTGACTGTGTCCTCTCAGTTGCAGAAAGGTATTGAACGCAAATGTTTCCCCTACTTCTGCTGCCCTGTGGCCAAACTGTTGCTCTTCCTCACTCACAGCTGTTTCACTGTGAAGAAACCCCTCAATTCCAGCTTCCCAGGCATCTTAGGGTTTTATAGTGGTAAAGAGACTCCATGACCACAGCAACTCATATGTATAAAGAAACACATTTTTTAACTTTTATTAATTAATTGATTAATTTTTTACAGCTTGATCAAGTTGCCCCTCCCTTTCTCCTCTCCTCCCAGTCTCTTCTACCAGCCTCCCCTCTTTTCCCATCCCCCCTAACTCAGTCCTCTTCCTTTCTCTTCAGCAAAGGGCAGGCCTCCCACGTAGATCAGTCAGCCATGGTATATCAAATTGCAGTGAAACTAGGCACTCCTCTCCTACTGAGGCTGGATGAGGCGACCCAGTAGGAGGAAAGGGTCCCTAAAGCAGGTAACAGAGTCAGAGACAGCCCCTGCTCCCACTGTTAGGAGTCCTACAAGAAGACCACGCTACACATCTGTAACATATGTGCAGAGTGCCTAGGTCAGTCCCATGTTCTCTTATAGTAGTATTTCATTTGTATTTTAATATATAAAGCTTGCCTAAAGAGCAGAGAGTAAACAGCCACACTGCTCAGCCTTAGAGACCAGGTAGTGGTGCTCGCCTTTAATCCCAGCACCAGAGAGGAATACAAAACAGCTCTTTTTTTTTTGGGGGGGGGGAATTTTCGAGACAGGGTTTCTCTGTAGCTTTTGGTTCCTGTCCTGGAACTAGCTCTTGTAGACCAGGCTGGCCTCGAACTCACAGAGATCTGCCTGCCTCTGCCTCCCAAGTGCTGGGATTAAAGGCGTGCGCCATCACTGCCCCCAAACAGCTCTTAATAGGCAGTCTCATTCTGAGATTCGGACTGAAGTAGAGGTAAGTCAGCGACTAGCTGTTTTGCTTTTCTTTCTTTTTCTTTATTTCTTTTCTCTTTTCTTTTTCTTTTTTTCTTGGTTTTTGAGATAGGGTTTCTCTGTAACTTTGGTTCCTGTCCTGGAACTAACTCTTGTAGACCAGGCTGGCATCGAACTCACAGAGATCCACCTGCTTCTGCCTCCCGAGTACTGGATTAAAGGTGTGCTCCATCACTGCCCGGCTCTGTTTTGCTTTTCTGACCTTCAGGTTGAACCCCAATTTCTGTCTCTGGGTTTTTAGTAATTGTGCTCTCTGGTTGGTGGCTCAGTCTCTGTGAGCTCCTATGAATCCAGGTTAATTGATTGTGTGTGTGTGTGTGTGTGTGTGTGTGTGTGTGTGTGTGTGTGTGTGGTGTCCTTGGCCCTTCTGGCTCTCACAGTCCTTCCTCTCCCCTCTAAAGGAAAATGTTTAATTTGGGCTGGCTTAGTTTCAGAGGTTAATTCTGTTGTTATCATGGTGGGAAGCATAGCTGCGTGCAGGCAGACATGGTGCTGGAGAAGGAGCTGAGAGGTCTACATCTTGATCTGTGGGCAGCAGGAGACTGTGCCACACTGGGCATAGCTTGAGTATATAAGACCCCAAATTGTGTTTACCTCCACAGTGACACACTTCCTCCAAGAAGGCCACACCTCCTAATAGTGCCACTCCCTATGGGGCAAGCATTCAAACACTCAAACCCATGAGTCTATGGGGGCCATTCCTATTCAAACTACCATACCGTGCATGAGCCTAGCCTACCTTTTTTCTTTTTCCTTTTTTTCCCCTTCAAGATAGGGTTTCTCTGTGTAGCCCTAGCTGTCCTGAAACACACTCTATAGACCAGGCTGGCCTCAAACTCTCGGAGATCCACTGTCTCTGCCTCCCGAGCCCTGAGATTAAAGGCGTGTGCCATCACCACCTAACCTACCTTTATCCTCTTCCATGCACACCCCATTCCTACCCATGTTTCTGCTTTTCTCCCTTTTCACTGTTTTCTAGTCCCTGAAAGC